GTTGCTCCGTTTTGAGTGTGCTCTATATGAAACTTGCTTAGAATTGCTTGTAGTTTCAGATTATCATGTTGCATCCTTGTTTTGGTGTGTTTGCTTGATGTTTGGGTGCATTTTGCATCAATGCCATGTTTAACTTGTTTTGCTCATATCTTCTAGGCCGTAGCTCCGAACTAAATGAACTTTATATGTAACTTGACTAGAATCTCATGTAGATCATCCTTGTGCATTTTAACTTGCTGTTTAACAACTTGAACATAAGGTTTATTCAGATCTGGACCAACTTCGAAATTTGCATATGAGGACTTACCGGAATTGTTATATGTTGTTCTCGGCCTCATTTAAACTGGCCTTGATGTGTTGCTTTTGTTTGCATCATCTCTTGCCATGAGTAGCTTCATGTAGCTTTGTCATGCATCATGCCTTGTTCTTGTGTGGTGTGTTTACCTTGTTGTGTGCTTCTTTTCGATAGTTCATGTTTCGTTGCGATCGTGATGATTCGTTCGTCTACGGTTGGTTCGGCTTCATCCGTTCGTCTCCTTCATGGACTCGTTCTTCTTCCTAGCGGGATTTTAGGCAAGATGACCGCTACCCTGGATCTCACTACTATCATTGCTATACTAGTTGTTTCGTTCTATCGCTATGCTGCGCTACTTATCACCTGTTTATCGAGCCATCCCAAATTGCCATGAACCTCTAACCTTTGACACCTTTCCTATGCAAACCATTGATTGACTATGTTACCTCTTTTGCTCAGCCCCTCTTATAGCGTTGCTAGTTGCAGGTGAAGTTGAAGATTGCTCCTTGGTGGACAGGATTTTGTTGGGATATCACAATATCTCTTATATTATTATTAATGCATCTATATACTTGGTAAAGGGTGGAAGACTCGGCCTTTTGCCTAGTGTTTTGTTCCACTCTTGCCGCCCTAGTTTCCGTCATACCGGTGTTATGTTCCCGGATTTTGCGTTCCTTACGCGGTCGGGTGATTTATGGGACCCCCTTGACAGTTTGCTTTGAATAAAACTCCTCCAGCAAGGCCCAACCTTGGTTTTACCATTTACCTCACCACCACCTACCCTTTCCCTTGGGTCGGCCAACCCAAGGGTCATCTTTATTTTAGCCTCCCCGGGCCAGTGCTTGTCTAAGTGTTGGTCCGAACAGAGCAACCTGCGGGGCCACCTCGGGGCAACTCAAGGGCTGGTTTTACTCGTAGCTTGACTTATCCGGTGTTGCCCTGAGAACGAGATATGTACAGCTCCTATCGGGATTGTCGGCGCATCGGGCGGCTTTGTTGGTCTTGTTTTACCATTGTCGCAATGTCTTGTAAACCGGGATTCCGAGTCTGATCGGGTCTTCCTGGGAGAAGGTCTATTCCTTCATTGATCGCGAGAGCTTGTCATGGGCTAAGTTGGGACTCCCCTGCAGGGTATAATCTTTCGAAAGCCGTGCCTGCGGTTATAGGCAGATGGGAATTTGTTAATGTCCGGTTGTAGATAACTTGACATCAAATACGAATTAAAACGCATCAACCGTGTGTGTAGCCGTGATGGTCTCTTCTCGGCGGAGTCCGGGAAGTGAACACGGTTTCTGAGTTATGTTTGACGTAAGTAGGAGTTCAGGATCACTTCTTGATCATTACTAGTTGACGACCGTTCTGCTTGCTCTCTTATCGCTCTTATTTGCGTATGTTAGCCACCATATATGCTTAGTCGCTGCTGCAACCTCACCACTTTACCCCTTCCTTTCCCTTTAAGCTTTGCTAGTCTTGATACCCATGGTAATGGGATTGCTGAGTCCTCGTGGCTCACAGATTACTACAACAACAGTTGCAGGTATAGGTTGTGCGATGGTCATGACGCGAGAGCGATGCGTGCTTGCGTTGAGTTCTTCTTCTGCTTCTTCTTCGATCAGGGGATAGGTTCCAGGTCGGCAGCCTGGGCTAGCAGGGTGGATGTCGTTTGAGTTTCTGTTTATGTTTCATCCGTAGTCGGATGATGCTCTGATGTATTGTGATGTTGTATTCGTGTGGCATTGTATGCCTTATGTATGTATCCCCATCTATTATGTAATGTTGATGTAATGATAAAGCGTTTCAATATGCGGGTCTATCCTTGGTGGGACCTTCGAGTTCCTTTTGGATAGGGTCGCATATTGGGCGTGATATTATTCCTTTCAACACATCCCAAGTTTGATATCTTAAGTAAGTTTGCGCTTCCCCGTAAAACAAAGACATTCTCCATGGTTCACTGTTTGGTTCCTCCACAGCGCAATCAATATGATAAACCGAATAACCAAGAATCTCAATCTTTATTGGATTATTCCAAAACAAACCTAAACCGCCGCTTCTACCTTGGCTACTTACAGCATAGCCATTATCATAGCCAATAGTTCCTGCTAGACTTTCTACCCTCGTCCTTTCAATTTGTGTTTCAACAATACATAAAAGGGTAGGGGCAAAATCCCTCACGATCTCTCGAAGTTCTCTAACTGTCGCAGCGTTGCCCGCACCGCGACAGTTCCAACTTAGAATACTCATTGCGCCCGGCGGTGCTCCTCGCTGGAGCCCGCCGATGTTGCAATATTGTTGATTGTTGTCTTTCCCATGTCCTGCCCATTCTCGTTTGTTCCATCATCTCTCTCTCTTCCCCAACTGACTTGCATGTCTTCTTCGACCTCTTACTTTCCTTCCTCGGGGATACATACACCGGCGGTAATGGAGGAGTTTCAGACTCTTTAACAACCATAGCCAACGCCTTCCCTGTTTCACCTTCAGTATTCACAACCTCAGACGAGCTAGCCTTGTCAACAGAAGTGCGTTTGTTAGATAACTGAATATGACCCCTTGCGGATGGCGTGACAACCTGCATCGCCATCTGACTGTTCTGTTGTTCATCTGTCTCAGCCCCTGATGGCCCATCGCTAGTTGAGTTCTGCTGTTGTCGCGCGTTGAAACGCCAACTCTGGTTTGGGTTGTATGGTTCTCTCCCTCTTCCTCGTCCTCCAACTCCAGCACCTCCTCTTCCTCTTTGGGGTGCATAACCTCCCCTTCCTGCCTGCTTGTATCTCACATTATCTGCAAGAACAAACCCCCCCCCCCACTCAAAGGTGGATTCATCATGTTCTCCATCTCCGCATTCTTCATGCCGGTGCCCAAATTTACCACAGTTGAAGCAAAACGTGGGTAACTTCTCATATTTCACCTGATACTTCACCCTCTCTTCCCCCTTCTTCCCAGTCACAAAACGCTTTATTTTGCTGTTGATGTCTATCTTCACCTTGACCCTTACAAATTCACCAAAGAAACCTGCAGGCAATTTCAGTTGTACTTCCTCGACCTCTCCGATCCTAGACGCCAAGCCTTTCACTGCCGGTTCAATCAAGAAATTGTCTGGCAGACGGTGAATCTGTGCCCACACCGAGATCTTGTCAAGTTTAAAGGAATCAGGGTTTTTAAAACCATCATACACTTCCATGATCACTGCCTGCTCCCTAAACAGCCACGGGCCCTCAATCATCGCCTTGTGCCAGTCCCCCAGGCACCCAAACTGTGTCGTGAACAGATTGTTCTTTATCTTCCTCCACACCACTTGCTTTGCAGGGTTCCAGGCTGCACGCATATCTCCATAGAGCGCATTAGGGCTGAAAGACTTCAGCGTGTGGACGCGTACAATTGCTAACCACTTCGCCGGCTCCATCCTGTCCGGCAACTCCTCTTCCCAGATGAAGTCGTCATCTTCTTCCTCCTACAGTGTTAGCCGTGCCAGCAGCTCCTCCGTTGTCTCCTTCCCCAGCCTCTGCGATCCCGCTCCTTCAGCCATCGCTGCTTGATCGGATCCCGAACAAGAAAAACTTCCTCTCCTTCCTTCTCTTCCCACGCGCCCTAGGGACCCAGGCTGGAGCAGATCGTCCGGACCCCCTGCAGTACTAGCCCCGAGGGGTCGAGGGGGTTTTGGCGACGGGCGATGGGTAAATTCCGGCGAGCGCCCCCGGAAGATGTCGAAACCCTAGGTCTATCGCCTTAGGGGAGAAAAAACAACGAGCCCTGTGCGATCTTTTTAGTCCGCGTGGACTTTTCATTTTGCACTTCTAAGTCGAACGTGATCATCGAAGAAACGGCTGGCAATCTCTGGCAGGAGCTTCGACTAGACCGACTTGCTGCATTATCTTTTCCTTTTCAGAGATCTCTGATTTTTCCTTTTCCCTTTCCATCATAAAAGAAAAAAAGAGATAAAGCTCACAAACAAATCCACCGAAATACATACTTTTTTTCACAAGCACAAGGGAAAAATAGCTCTGTTTCCAAATTAGTTTTCCTTCAAATCTAGGCTCATGTACTCAGAGAAAATAGCTGTGTCATTCCTTATGAGATATGCTCTGCCAAACAGCATGGAAGTGAACTAGTTTGCTTCTAAATACATCATGCAACTGGTGATTTCTTCAGACAAAACCACACTGAACAGCTTTCTTGCAGATTTTTAAATGCTTGGGATTCAGTCAGTGCCACAGATAACACAATCATTACCAAAATGACATAACTTGATGAGTTCACTACCACTTTTGCATGCAAACATTTGGATCTTACACATCAAAGGCTTGCGAAAACAGCGCCGAGAACTCCATTCGCGAGCAGTACAACAGACAAAACATGAAGCAGGTTCGAACATCTTGCAAAATAGGTTGATGATATCGTAACATCTTGGACCACTCTACTAGATTTTGATCTTTACATAGAGTGCTGTTGACACCAAAAAGAGTATAGCAACTAGTGCAAGACACAAGCAGGTGCCTTAGCCTTCAGGAAAATACGGGACCTTCTCGTACAAGCCACGATGCACGTAAAATTTCATGCATGTTTCCGGTCTAGAGAAGCTTAGTAATGTCTGGCAGAGATCCTCGGCGTTGCTTTCAGTAACTGACTGATGGAAAGTTATGGTCATTTCTTTTAGCACTGTTGCCCAATTAAGCAACCGTTCCACAAAAGCAACTTCATTTTCAGTTCCTCACCAGGCACTGATTTCGATTATTATGAGGTGACTCAGCAGGAGTTCGTCAGTTTTCCAGTTTGGTGGCTGATGGCATATGCAACCCAGCGAGCATGTAGTTTGAGCCTGAAACAACATGCCGGCTTAATAAGAATAAGTGAATAACTGGTATGATTTGATGTAGTAAAAAGAGAGAGGTGAAACTGGAAATATCAAACTATGACCTGAATACTTTGAGATATGCCACCAACAACAGTAACAAAAGCACACTACCTACAAATTAGTTGGGGCCAACCTATTGCAGAAAATATGGTTGTTCTTCAGGAAGAGGGAGCCAAACAACAGAACCATTATAAAAGACCCTCCACTGATACATAACATTCAATAATATATTAAATTTTCTGAAAAAGTAGAGCAGAGAAGAGGAAGTGCTCAGTTGTTGTTTTTTGCTGTAAAGGGCCCTAATTTCTCTGATTTTCAATAGACAGGGATCTTACAAAATGCAACATAGTACTACCTAGCTACCAAACCCAATTAGTATGCCACTTTGTAGAAGTTTGAAGAGCAAGTAAGGTAACTAGCAACCCAAGCCAAAGTTTGCATAAAAATGGAAGTACATACCAAATAGATTGTGACTTTCCAGGTAACTCAAGTAGTATTAGATAAACAGATTAAGAATGTAACTTTACCTCGAGTTGCCTGGAACTGACATCAAATGCAAGAGTCAGCTTTCTTACACCAGTACACACCCTGAGAGCATGGAATAAGCTGGCTCCAAAGGAATGTCCATTCGCGGCAACTTTTACGGACAAGAATAAAACATGTGGGAGCCCTGGCATGTCCTCCATCAAGTAGCGTTGGTGGTCAGATATGTCCTACAGGTTGATAGAAAGTCACAAAGGAGGATTATATATAACGGTTGGAAAAAAGGGACACACAAAACTCATTTTTCTTACTACAAATGGTTCTGTGTGTGCTGGTGGGGGGATATCCAATCCGGCCACAAGGACTGCTGGTGTTCATATTTTTCAACTCCTGAGAGTTCATGTCCCATCCAATAACTAAATCCTAGTTCAGTAACAACTAAATCCTAGTGCAGTAATGCTAGTGTTCAGCTTTAATGCTAACAACTCAAAGGTGGTACAAAGCAATACCATCTAAGAGGATAACTATATAACGTATTGGGAAAGAATAAAGATTGAGTGCACTAAGCCATGTTGCACAGACATGAGCAAAGACAAACAAGTGAGAATTCTGTAATGCTTTCTCAAATATAGCAAATATCATAACCCTATGTTTACCTTGTTATTATTGACTTGGTAGCATATTATGATGATGAAATAATCACGAAAGAATGGAACTCACCTTCCGATAGTAAAGCGCAAGGTCAAGACAGATGATGAACTCGAAGCGCTGCAAAAGCCTGATGCGATTGTGTGCAAAATCCTCATCGGATCCATATACAAGAAATTGACCGGCGTGCAGCCATTGGAGATGTGCCATCTTGCCAAGCTGAATGGATCTTCTATCATAACGAGCATTCCACTCAAGAAACGTGAGCCGAGGGGCTGAGATGTTGGCAAGTGGTTGACTCGGATCCACAGGATCAGCAATGTAGGTGGTGTCTTTCTCTTTCAATGAAATGAGTGCAGGAGCCATGACAAGGAGCTTCCGCACGCCAATTAAATTCTTCAGATCTATTTGGAGGACAGACTCTGAGGAAATGTCGAGGATGCCCGGACCCAAGGCGTTGTTGTCTAGTAACACATTATCCATCCCTATTTGTAAGAGAGACTCTGAGTGGATTACAATGTCATCCCGGACCTGGGCGTCGCGTAGGATGAGCTTCCGCAGCGATGGGCATCGTGGCGAGGAGACAACATCACCAAGTCTGCAGGGACCACGCATCCTAACGGCTACCAGACAGAGATCGGTGAGCCGGGCAAACACGCCGGAGGGCGGCAGGGCGAGGCCAAGATTGTCTAGGTCGAGGGAGATCCAGTCGGCACCCTGGAAGCAAGGCAGCTCAACTGTGCCTGTTTCCCCATCCCAGTCCCGCCTGAGATTGAAGATGACTAGTTCGCCGAGGAGGCGGGGCACGATGATGGGGATCCACGTCGCCACCGACTCCGCTGCGGCGTCCTGGAGGTCGACGACGAGGAAGTGGATGACCGGCGCTTCGTGGGCTGTGAGGGCAGAGCGTATGCGGTGCGGCTCGGTGCCGAGGGGAAAGTTGAGCTCCGGGACGGGCTTCCAGAGGCCACGCCAGCGGCGGCAGAGGACGCTGGTCCGAGCGGCCATGGGGGTGCAGCGGAGCTTGACGAGGATGTGGATGAGAATGTCGTCGGGCAACACGCTGAGGCGGTCCTCGTCGCCGTCGGCGGCGTCGGCGAGCTTCGGTCGCTTGGGCCCATCGCTCTGCTCCATGGTTGGAGGAGGGATTTGGCGCCTCTCACACGCACGGATCACACTGCGCCATTGCGGTGAATTGGAGCTCGAGAGAAGGGGTCGGCACGGACGCACGGTGATTTGGGGGAGCTAGGGTTTGGGGGGTTTGCAGATTTGGTGGAGATCGGCCAGCGATAGTCGGTAGATAGAAATTCTTGGGTGAAATGTCAGAGCCAGGCCACCACCCTTCCACCCCTTGATTTTCCCAATTTTTTCTTCCACACTTGATTCCTTCGTTCCACTGGCGACGATGCTATGCCCGCCGACTTACCACCGGAGTGGGATGCCATGTCCGCCAAGGAGCAGACGATATGGTACCTCGCATCCTTCATCTCCAGGATTGAGGGCATGACTGCTGAGCTCGTTGCTGCTAACGCACGACTCGACTCGGCTGCTTCCTCGTCTAAAAAACCACCGGCCCTGGTCCCAGTACCGACATCACCATCGACCCCGTCAGTGTCTCCTCCTCCACGGCCAAGGCCCCGGCGGTCCTCGAGCTCGTCCATGATTCGTCCCCGGTGTGCATTGCGATGGTGCCCGTCACCTGTTCGACGGAGTGCTCGACCCAGGTCGACACCATCGACAGCATCGACGAGGTCCATGACGCCGCCACCGCCGTCCACCTCGAGCCCACGGGCGACAGCATCAACAAGGTCCATGACGCTGCCTCTGTCGTCCACCTCGAGCCCACGGTCGACAACATCGACAAGGTCCATGGCACCGCCACCGCCGTCCACCTCGATCCCACGGTCGACCCCATCCACCAAGCGGTCGAGCTTGCAGTCGACTGCACCATCGACGCCACTATCACTGCAGTCTCCACCGACATCTCCTTCTCCAACTTCAAGGCTCCGGAGGTCCTTCAGATCGTCCATGATGCATCCCCTGATTGCATGGAGATGGTGCCCGTCACATGTTCGACGGAATGCTCGCACTAGGTCGCCACCGCCGACATCGTCAATGCGATCCATGGTGCTACTGCCGCCATCATCCTCGAGCCTGCGATCCATGGTATCACCGAGGAGGTCGTTCCTTCTGGGGCGTCCACCATCGACGTCGAACCCAAGGCCGGCGTGCAGAAGCTCGATGCCTTACCGCTGTTCTCCATCAACACCTCCACCCTTGTGACAAACGAGGTGGGCCGCAGTGTTGTCCTCAACATCTCCAGTGACCTTCCTACACCCGTGCTGACCACATGTTCGACGAAATGCTCTCGACATGTCGCTCAAACATTAAGGTTTGTGCTCTACCCAGCCGTGACACCCTCATTGCCATCCCTGCTGCGTCACAACATCGAGGATATCCTTGCACATGTGTTATCTGAAGAAGAATTGCAACTTGAGAATCTACGACAACACCCTTGGCCATCACCTACTCCAGCGCATGTCACAGATAATGATGTTGTTCTGCTCTATGGAATAGCTCACAATGGTGTCACTGGTGACTAGGTGGCCTCCTGATCATCACCGAAGGAGGAAAATGCGAGGAGGAATTCTTCATACTCGGTTGCAGACTCTGATTATCAATTTAGTGGAGTTACAACCATGGCCTTTAGTGGAACCATGGCCTTCTGGGCAACCTACTTTCTGGGTTTCCACTGAGCCAAGCAAGTGTTGTGAGGCTGGGTCACAGAGAGTGGAATTCAATAGTCCTTCTGTTCTCCCTAAATGCTCTAAACAATACCAATGGAAAGTTACATGTCCACTCAATTCCGAGAGGAAAACAACTACTAGTAGATCCTGTTTTGTCCATGATTTTCAGTTTCATTTCAGGGAAATTCGACCACAGTCTTCCAACAGAATCTGGAGCTGGACATTATCTCTGCTCAAAAGTGTGGAAACATCCACTATTCAACAACACGTCACTTGTAACATGGTTTGTCTTCAACTATATCAGTTTGGGTGGTTGGCTCTGCTTCTTATTGGTGGAATTCCTCTCTGCTCGTACCAATATACTGTAAAAGGATATTTTCTGTACAAATCATGGAAGCGGCAGTACAATTTCAGTGGACACTTTGAAGGGATACTCACCGACCAGTTCTTGCACTTGTGGTTTATGAAACAGGACAATGATGATTCATGTTTCAGTAAACAGGTCTTGTGCGAAGGTAAACAATGGCTTTTGGAAATCTGTACATGTTCTATTGCTATTTCTCCTGAAGATCATCATTCACCTCTTGGTACTATGGCTGCACATGTATTACAGAGCATGCATGTACCTCAACAACTTGGGCCATATGAACTAGTATGCATTATGCAGTCCTCTTATGAACTTTGTGCTCAAGATGTACCATTGAGGTTTGGGTTCAGTCAGAAAAATGTTCAGCCAAAGCTACTATATTTTGCCTGCGGTTGTCGAGCAGTATGCGTGCAATCAGAACTACCCAAAACTGAGCTCCCTAGTGTTACCAGTTTGTGTTGGCCTGCAACTACATATGACCCTGATCTAGGTTCAGTGGAATATTTGGAGGATATATTTCTAATTATCGATGAGCGGTCTAGGAAGTGCGATACTACTAGAAACCATGCGTGCAAACTTGATGAGCATTGGAACTTGTCCGAGCATTACATACTGGAGCATACTACTGTATGTAGTATTTCTATGGGCGGCAAATTGAAAAGGAAGATTCATTTTATGCCTATGTCAGTGCACTGGAATGTTTTGAACCAAGAGGAATTTAAAGGCAGTGGTCGTGTTTCAATCAGCTTTCACATTAGCAATGCATGGGAACGGTGTCCCAATCTTGTTGAAAATTGCAGAATGATACTCCTAGTACTAGACTGGAGATGGAAAAGTGCATCTGTGAAGCAATTACAAGAAACAACTTCCTCTTTTGCTATTCTTGTGCTTAATTTGTTGGGCCCCTTGTCAAGCTACAAGTCAGAGGCATATTCTCTTGCAAGGTACATGGTGTTGGTTCAATTATTTGCACATTTCATCGGAGATCTTATTCATACTATTCACAAGAAGACAGGGCAACCTAGTACAGTGGAGTGCAAAGAATTTAAGAGCAACAACTTTCCATGCTTTGGGCTCCAACCAGAGGGAAGTTTATTAATACTGATTGAGTTGGGGATGTGCATTGCATATCTGAATTCATGTGCAGTCAGTGCCTCTGGGAATTATAGTCATTGGCGTTTCTTTATTCAGTTTGAGAGGCTATGGGCTCCTGGAACTAAAGAAGTGTCTGATGATAATGTTACTGACCAGTCTTGGGTGGCTTTCAGTACACCAGCAGACATACAAGCTGCAATTGAGGGGTGTCCACGATGCATGAGCGCACCGGGCATGGGTGGTATGGTGTCCTCTTCCTGCTACAATCAAGAATATTTTCAAGGAAGGTGGGGTGTCGCCACTATTGTTGTTGGCTTTGTGCAGGGCTTTGCCGACAACTTCATCGACTACTTCTTCAGTGTCTCCTTCAACTCGGTCACCATCGCCCATGACTACTACCCCGACGTCGTTCAAGTCAACCCCAACTTTGGCTACCACCGCGGCTTTGAGCTAGTCACGGACCATGGAGTGCAATGGGATCCGGGCGGTTCTCGGTGGCATCGGTTTGGGGTCAAGCCGAATCTCAAGGAGGGGGGATGTTAGGAGCCCCTGGTCCTGCACGTGTACATGGGCTGCCCCTACGACAACACATGGGCCAGGTGTAACGCCCCGGATTCGATGCGCCATGTGTCTGCCAGTCATTCGCCGTCGTTGCCATGTTATTTGCTTGTGTGTTGAATTTTATCATGTCATCATGTGCATTGCATTGCATACGTGTTCGTCTCATGCATCCGAGCATTTTTCATGTTGGCCGTTTTGCAATCCGGCGCTCCTATACCCTCCGACGTTCCCCTTTTGTCTCTCGTTATGAGTGGGTGTTAAACTTTCTCGGAATGGACCGAGTCTTGCCAAGCGGCCTTGGTATAGCACTGGTAGACCGCCTGTCAAGTTTCGTGCCATTTGGAGTCCGTTTGATACTCCAACGGTTAACCGGGTAGCCGTAAAGCCCCTCTTTCTTTGCAGCCCAATGCCCCTCCATAGTGGCCCAAAACCCATCTAAGTCTCTTCTATGCTCTCGGTCGTTCGATCACGATCGCGTGGCCGAAAACCGCTCCTCATTTGGACTTTCCTAGCTCCCTCTACCTATAAAAAGGCCTCTCTCCTCGAATTTTTCGGGCAAACCCTAGATCAACCTCTCTCTCGCCCGCCGGACATGTCCAATCTCGCCGGACACGTCCAGCCGCCGCGCCCGCAGCCAACCACCGCGCGCCACGTGGCCTCCGCCCCCAGCCCCCGCGCCGCCGGCCCGCGGAGCCCATCGCGGGCCCG